GAAAAACCCTCGGAGCAAGGACGAGAACCAACAACAAACTCAACCCACATGAGACGCCAGGTCCGGGAATCGAACCCGGGCCACAGTGGTGGGAGGCGAGTGCTCTCACCACTGCGCCATCCCTGCTCCCAGTAGTAGCTTTCCAGAAGAGAATAAAGAAGAAAATTACAGAGTCTTAGTACCTTTCGTTAAGTCGTCCAATCGAGTGGTAAAAACCCCTCAACAGTTCAATCACAGAAAATTAATCTTACTTTCAGTCGTCTTCGGAGCGAATGGTTTATTTTAATAAGTCATCCTTTTTATCATTTTGGTATTCAGGGGTAGTCTAAGAATAAAAAAAAAAAAAAAAAAAATGTAAGCGAAGGAAGAAATTTCGACTAGCTTGTAATTCCTTCCCGTCGCTACTTTCCTGGCTAAAGGACAATGGTCAACCTGCGTTATTCTTAGACTGCAAAAACTCTATCCTTGTCTTCTAAAGACTCTGTTCATGAGCACCCACGAATAGCAGAGCCTGCTTTCGTTCCCTTATGCACATTTTAACTCACCTAGTTAAGGATGTTAGCCATGAAACTCTATTCATGTTTGTGAAACCACCTTTGACTCTACTCTCTGTGCACACTCAAAGATCTCGTTTACTTGCGCGCATTTCAACTCCTTTTTGGTGGTGAATATTTCCCAGCACGCTTTACCACGCGATTGCGGAAACTGTGGCCCTGTTCTCCATAGACTCCTCCTACTCAGCCTGCCTCCTACTGAAGAGTCGGGCCTACCTTCCCTCGCTTGAACTCAAATGAGCTCTTTTGAGTGATGAATTTTTGCCGTAAAGGATTTTAGAAGAAAGCAAGTCCATATTCCTCGGTGAGTTGATTATGGAAAAAGATGATTGTATTTTTTTTCTTCTTGTTAACATGAGCACGTTTCAGGGTTTTATTTCAACTCTCTTCGCCCCAGTTTAATCCTTGAGACTCGCAGCGCATAGTGCCATTAATTGTGTGACGTTACAGCAAAAGCCCGGATGGGAAAAAGCACTGTCAACCACAAGGTCACCGATGGTGATACATATATATATATTATGCAACCGGTGAAAGTTGTTGCAAGCTTTGTCACCAAGTTGCCTCGTGAGTTTGTCTTGCTATTACTCTAAGTCTGTGAAGGAAATAAGCTATATTGTTTTGGATAAATAGCTTTCCGTAAGATATGGCAGCGAGAATTTTTGCTCCAATCACGAAGAGATTTCTTTGGAACCGGGTAGGTCGCGAACGCCTGGTGGAAAACGACATTGGCTTGCTTTTGCAAAAAGATTTCCTCCAGGAACCATTCGAACACGATCTCGCTTTATTGGAAGGAACAGAACAAACACTTGAAACGAGCCATGGGAATTCTCTTAGTTCTGAAACGAGGGATAATTATGCTGTACAACATCACGGGGATTCAGCTAATGACAGCTTCAAAATTACTACGAGAGAGAGGGCACCCTCAAAGAAAAGGCTGCGGGCTTTCGTTGGAATTATTTTAGCCGTAACGTCGGCTTTGTTTTTCTCGTCAAGTGCGTTGATGATCAAGCTCGCTGCAAGTATCTCAAGTGTACAGGTTGCATTCATGCGTTTAACCATACAGTTGACATGTATACTCCCAACCATGATTTTCTACAGGGATGACTTCATTTTTCCATGGAGGAAAACCAAATTTTTAGTCATCCGGGGAACTGTCGGAGTCACAGCTATGACAATGAGTATTTACGCAATAAAGCACATGCCTCTTGCAGACGCAAGAGTGATTATTTACACATCACCCGTTCATACAGCTATTCTAGCACGTATCTTCCTTAAAGAGTCAGTAAGTAAGTTTGACCTAGCAGCTATGGTTCTAAGTATAGGAGGGGTTGTGCTGATCGCAAGGCCTACTTTTCTGTTTGGGTCTCATGGAGAACACACCAGCTCTACACAAGCGTGGTTACCTTCTCTTCTCGCTGTTTTGTCTGCAATTGGTGTTAGTGTCACCGCTATTGTTACAAGGAAGATGTCTCAAGAAGTGGGAATCAGAGCAGTGATTTTTTACTTGTTTCTCATTGGGTCAGTCTTCACTCTTACTTTGTCAATGGCTCTAGGGTTTAAATACCCAGACTGTGGATCTTATGATGCCGTTTACATCATTGTGGCTGGATTTCTTGGGTTTTGCGGACAGTTGTGTGCAACAAAGGCTTTATCTATAGAAAAAGCATCAGTTGTTTCATTAGTGCGCACAATAGGAATTGCATACTCATTTATTTTTCAAATCACTATCCTGAATGATGTTCCCAGTGGATTAAGTATTGGTGGGGCTGTTCTTGTCTTGCTTTGCAATGTTTGTATTTTCTTGAAGAAATTTTTGGATGTAAAGAAGACCCATCCGGAAGTTCCTAAACAGGAAGAAAATACTGAACATCAATAATTTTTCCCATCAGGTAATTACTCTTTGGCTTACTTTTCAGGCCCTGGTTGTTCGAAGGTTGGATAATGCTCTCTAGTGGATAAATCTTTATCTGGTACTTAGCAGTATGTTCTGCTACCACTTCTATCCACTGGAGAGTGATTTATAGGTTGGATAGCATTATCTTTCCTTTATACAACTGGGACCAGGGGAACAGCTCAAAGAGATGTGGATATAGGGCTTAAATGAATGGCCAGTCAATGGACAATGGACGATGCTTAGTCAGAATTAGGAATTGAGCAGGCAATTACGTCTTCACATTAATAATTACGAGACGGGTTGTCTGGTCATTTGTGTTTTTTAATAATTATTATCATGTGGAAACTTTTTCACAATCTCAAAAAATATTTTTCTCTGACAACATTCATTTCTGACATGGGAAAGTGACATATTGGTCTCTAACTAGTTAATAGTTAAAGAACAGCTGAGACTTTGGGTTTCAATGAATTTAGTTATAGAGGCAATTAATGCAGCAATAATATTGTCAGCAAATAATTGATCAATAGAATACTCAAGTTTATCAGATAGAAGTTGTTATCATGATCTAAGACCCAATTCTCATAACTACAGAACAAGGAAATGTGTAGCACGTTATAGAGAAAGATTAACAATCAGATGTTGGGAGTTAAAGCATTAGAATAAGGGAAAACAGCTTAAGTTTGAATTCAATGTAGATGGCTCATTGTGTGAGGGCTAGCAGAAGCTTACGTTTATGAGTGTCTCTTAGTTTCTGAAGTATTGCAGGGCTTGACACTAACGGTAGCCCACTAGCCACAGACTAGTAGAAATTCAGTTTTGGTTAGTGGTTTTCAATCTCCACTAGCCAGTTTGGCTAGTAAACAGACTGAAATTGTCGTAATATCTAAAAACATCTAACATGTCACTAGCCACTTTGCTAGTAAGTTGAAAAGTTAGTGTCAAGCCCTGATATGGCAAATAGGGTTGTTCTGCCTGTTAAATTTTCTCTGTGTGGACATGTACTGGTACATGTAGAATAGGACCATGTGGCTAAAACTCAGCTCGAGATAATTTGAATATATCAACAAAGTTGAAATGGTAAATTGGCCACTGTTACGATTATGAAAGCTGATGTTTCGAGCATTAGCCCTTTGTCGGAGCCCTTTCGAGCATTAGCCGTTCGCTCCGATGAAGGGCTCATGCTCGAAACGTCAGCTTTTATAATCGTAACAGTGGCCAATTTACCATTTCAACTTTGTTGATATATTCAAATTATTTCGTTACCCCCACTGACGCAGCCCCAAACAGTTTCTTTACAAACTATCAGCTCAAGATAGCTTATTTTTATATTTTTGTAGTAATATAAAGCAACACTAATACACCTTTCTTTGGAACTGTATCATGCAATTATTTATCTAATTATTTTATCTAAACTTTAAATTTTGCTACAATTCAAATCATCGAGATCTATTTTTTGTACAGTCATTGGGTATATATACACAAGATGAGTTCATGGAAAATTGGTTTTAAAGTTCCCTGCTAACAGAGGCTTCATTTTTGCATGCTGAATGCAAAGAAAAGATGCCTTTCTGCCAGTAGGGAATTCCTAAACTAGAAAAATATTAGGAAAATTTAAATTGCTTATAGTTAGTTTAATTTCTCTTTTATGAGCCTTAAAGGGCTAGGATAGGGATGTGATTGCATGGACATTCTTGTTCCATTCTTTCTTGGAAAAAAAATGGAAGACTGTTAGCAAGAGGATTAAAAAATATTTTTCTTTGAAGAATTTGTGATATAAAAGAATAAAGCCTTCATGAGCATGTTTTATACATTTTATAAACAGTGTTATTTCTAAACGAGAAGAAATTATAATTATGTCATTAGCACCTCACTTTCCAAGGAGGTCTCTGAATTGTAATATTATTATTGAGGGATTGGTCAAATACACAAAATTTGCCATAGAGTTTTGGCATTTATGAAGATTATCAATAAAGATGATGTTTATTATTGTTTTGCAAAGTTTTATTGTCTATTATAATAGTTGGTATTATGTATTATAAAGTCACTTTGACTTGCACTGTTGACAGCTGGTAGCATTAATGCAAGAAGGATTTTTTTTTTCGATGAAAACCAAACTGCTATGCAATGATAAGAAGTTCATCACTATGGGCTCCTGAAAATTTTCAACATCACAAGAACCCCAAGATGTTTTGTTGAAGTGTCTTGCATTAACCTCTAAGAGCTCGAGGGAGGAGCAACTGGATTTTTTTTAAACATCTATGTATGGTGCTTCAAAATTCTGTTGTGTTATCCCTACTGTTACAGTTCATAAATAATACAGCTGTGAGGCAAAGCTGAGGAAAGGGATGGGTGAGGTCTTAGAGTACATTTGACCCTCTCTCCTATTTGTTTCCTTGAAGAAAAATCAAGTTCCTAAATTCCACCAAATGCTACTTCCTCTAGGTGAGACATCTCACTGGAACATTTTGCCTTCGCCCCAAATCAAGTTGCGTGGGAAAAGTAAGCTTCCACGTAAAGCAAACAGTTTTCGTTGTCATTTGTTCTTACATATATGACAATTTTCATCCGCAGCTTGGCAATTGGTCACGCCACGCACTGTAATGTGTTGCGTGATGGGATTGCAAAACGGTTCCTGTGCTTTTCTTCGCACATGTGAGGATCAAATTTTAAAATTATCGATACCTCTTGTGATTAATTTTTTCGTAGTAAATTTATTGTTATATCCCCTACAGGATTAAAAGAAATTTTCAAATGCGAACAGTTGCGGTGTCGTGTCCATTGCGTTACATTTCTACTTCACTTGTCAAAATTGATGGCTACCATGACAACAATAAGTAACAAGATAATTTTACTGTAGCAAGTTTCCAGTGAGCGGCGGGAATATATGGCCTCTTTGTTGATATGCCCACTGTAAATGAGGGCTTTGATAGGCGCTCTTTTACGATGGACAACCATTTTCATGAAGACAGTGTTAATCTGAGGGGTGCCTCTCAACCTGTCGAAGAATTAAGCTATCTGGACGACAGCGATATCCATATTGACAATTCAGATGTTGATTGCTCGTTGCACTTACCACCGATTGTAAATCATCCAGTTATTCCTGTAAAACCCGAAATATCCATCATCTGCATGAAGTGCGAGGAAGAAATAAAAGTCCGACAGCTTAAAGAACACCAAGCATTTCACAACGCTTTGGAAATGTTCCGATTCAACATGGAACGGAAACCTTCGAGTGTCAAACAATTAGTGAAACGACGCCGAACAATTATGCGTCGAATCAACGAGACAGCCAACTCTGAAAATCCAGTTTCCATGAAGAAACTCCAGAAATTGAACCTGGCTTATGAGCTCCTCAAGGCTGATATCGAAGGAACAAAAACAACTCTTCGAAATGTGGACGATCTTTTCCAAATCCGGCCAAATGTCGAAGGTCGTGGAACAGTTCTCAACTGTGCCTTGGCGTTCGGTGTTTGTCAGCATGCGAATTCGCGATGGAAAACATCGATGGAGGATCGTTTCGCGTTTAAGGATTTTTTCTGTAACGATCCTCAGAGCGGGTTCTTTGCTGTTTATGATGGTTATTCGGGGAGTATGGCTGCTGAGAAATGCGCTCGGTATTTGGGTGAAATCTTTGAGGAGAAAGTCGAAAGAATTTACAACACAATCATGAAACACAACAACGTCGACGCGGAAATCTCGGCCGCTTTTAACGATACCTACGAGGAGATGGACAAAATTTTGCTTCACGGTGTGGAAGAACAATCAAGAAATCGCTGGAGTGGTTGTTCTGCCCTAACTTGCTTGCTGCGTGGGAACAATTTGTATGTGGCGAACGCTGGGAACATTCGAGCGGTTTTATGCCGGGGGGATGGCTCGATGGAACGGTTATCAAACGATCACAGTCCTTGGAATAAAAAAGAGCGTCATCGTATAAGGAAAGCTAAAGGAGACGTATCTAAAAGCGATAAAACAGCTTTGGTTAATGGCGTGGTGAAAAGTACCCGGGGTCTCGGCAATCATGGAGATCCCAGTCTGAAAACTTGCGTGGTTACAACACCAGTAGTCAATTGCTTCACTTTGGAAGACACCGACCAGTTTCTTATTCTCGCATCTAATGGGGTTTGGCAAGTGTTTAGTGAGGAAGAGGTCATTCTCCTTATAGAGGATCTCGTACCTGATATTGATGTAAGAGCTATGGTTAAGAGAATGCAAGAAAAAGCTTCTGCTCTTGGGGAAGGGCTGCCTGTCCCAAAGGGGGATGAAATTCCCAGACGTAACAAGGGCGTGGTGGATATGGACGAAGACAATGACTTTTCAATGACACAATCTTCTGAACAAAGTTCACTAGAGAACATGATTAGCGACAAAGAAAATGGCAATTCCATGGAGAGGTTCCAAAACATGGAAATAGAAATGGATGACAATAAAGGCACTGATTTGTTGCCTACCCCTTCTATTAGGTTACGGGCATCAAAGGTCTTGGAAGAAGACAAGGCTTCTGCGCTTGCCAGGGCCTTAAGTGAAAGGCTGGTGGAAGGATCTATCCTGGCTGGTAGTCATGACAATATCACTGTTGCAGTTGTTCTTTTTGGTGGATGTCCGCTTCAGATGTTTCTTTTGCCGTCACTATGATTGATACAATCAAAATTCTCATACAGGTTTTGACACTGGTCTCTTAAGTTAGATCTAGAATTTGGTGTTGCACTTAGAGGTAATTCCATCATTTTGTTGACCATTTTTACTATCACCAATCTGTTTGGTAGTATATTAATCTTAGGAAGAAAAATACCATTTAATCTCTGCCTGCTCAGAGTTAGTGGGGGATAGGAGTTACGTAGCATATATTTGTTGTGGAAACAATCTGCCCCGTGTTCCAAACCATTACCCTTTAATGTGACTAAGACTGACAAAACCATTTTCAATAAAAAAACCATGGAAAAATAAAGAGTCAGGGTAAATTATTTAACTCTTAAAACCCAGGAGTAACTAGTATCAAGAGTGCAAGAAATTATTACTTACCAAGATTCCAATACCTGATCTAAAAAGGGCACCCAAAATAAAGGTTGTGTAAAAGAATTGTAAAATTTGCAGGCTCCTCTTAGGGGCTCCTGTGAGTTGAACCCTAATAAATCTGCTCAAAACTGATGAATTTTCTTCCATTTATTTTATCCTTGCAACCACATGTTTTTCTACTTACAACAGTTTTGTTTGTTATCTTGCAAGCCCACTAGGTTTACACAAGTATCGAAATGTTAAAAAACAAGAGCCATTCATTTATAAGATAAACGTCGACTGAGTACAACTGTATACAACCCAACATAGCTTTCCCTCACAAGGAAAGACTTGACACTTAAAAATTAATGGCTCTTTCAAAACTATGTCTAAAATACCACTTTGTACATTCAAGAGTAAACCGCCTGCTAATTGTCTCTCATGTAACGGAGGTAGCATAGCCAGGTCCTCTACAAACTATATACAAGTTGCAAAGTTAAATATTACTGTTGGTGACAGCTGGCAGTGTGACAAAGATGTTTGGCATGGGTGTGTGTTTTAATATATATTTTAACATATGATAATTTTGTGCCATCCCTGAAAAGATGTCTGTGAAGTCTGATGCAGTTTTATTAGGAAGCAAGTCCTCTCCTTCTACTCAAGTTATTTGCTCTTCTGTTTTCTCTGCTCTTGTTATCTTTCTTGCGACGCTCATCCCTACAGAAATCACAAAATATAACTTTTCAAATTTGAACTTCCACATATCACTTTTAATTTCTAGAATTAGACCTTGTAGCTTTCAAAGCTACAACCTTTAAGGCTAGTCCTTTCTACTTCAATCTCCATTAAATTTCAATTGAAGGGAAAGACAAGTTTGTCACTACAACCAACTAATTGGGATTAATTCACTATTAATTACAACTGTTGAAACCACTCATCTATTTTTTAATCCTATCAAATTCCAAAGATCTCATCTGTAATTCTCCTAATACTGTCTGTCCTACGATTCTTATGATGTCAGTCAGAAGAATTTGGTATTAGATCAACTAACAATCCCCCAATTGTTCAATTTCTTTATTCTCATCACTTGGCTGCTTATATGGTAAGGAGAAATGCTGTTGTGATCACTAATGGGAGTTAAAGGTTACACTTTTGAGCACTTATCTGAGGCATACAAGTGATTAACAGAAGTTCTACACCTAGAGCTAAAGAAATAACTTGTAAATGTGTCAGATTGCAACTCTGTAGTTGAACTCCTTACCTTGATGTTACTTTCACACTTTTGACATCCACTTTATGATTCTTCACCTTAGTTTGGCTAATGGTAGGCCTACATTGCTCCTTGTATGAAGAGATAGGTTTTAATTTTCCAGTGTGTGGCTTGTAAGTTAGAGGTTTGGCCAAGCTTGCTTGAAGATCAAATTTTTTTCTTGGGGTTGGTGTTGTGACATCTGGTGCATTAGCTGGCAAAAATCTGAGGACAAAAAAAAAGAGAGAGAGGAAAATTGTTGGTAAAGATTCTAAGTCTTAAATATAGTGGTACAGCCTCCAACACAAGTAGAAATAAAGTTATACTCTTGACAATAATGTCTATAAAAATTTCAAAGTTCTGTGTATACTGTGACCCAAAAGTTTATAAATTTGGGGTTCTCATTACGTGCCGGCAGCCTGCTAAAAAACCGGCTACCTTAAATTTAGAGCCGCCTACTTTTCGGTGACAAGCTTGCCTCCTTATTTTGTATCTACACGTAGATTTCGAAGTTAAAAATCGCATGAATGAAACGAGTAATACTTGAAAGCCGTTTTCAGCAGCAAAACGTATGACACAATGCCAATGCGCGCCTTCTACTTTTATGCCTTAGAAGAAGGCATGAAATGGCGTTCGGTGTGTTAGAAGAAGGCATGAAATCTTAGTATGTAATTAATTATAGAGTACCCATGAGTAAAAGAAAACCCACTTCAAGCCAGCCTGGAATTGATCGATATTTCTGTAAATCTCGAAGAACCGAAAGCCAGGTAGATGAAGGTGAGAAAACTACTGCCCTTTTTTGGGGTGTAGTCTGGTCCAATTAATAGGATTCCAAGAAAAGAAAGATGTTCAGTAAAATTTATGGTTGTCTCTAATAAAAAAATTATTTCTTAAAACCAAATTTGTTTGCCAAAAGGCTCAAAATGGCAAATCTAACCTTCTATATTTTGAAGTTTTTCGGAGGGGAGGAGGGGAGGGGGCATGCTGCCAGACCCCCTTAGAGGCTCATGCCTGTGGTACTCGCTTCTCCCGCCACCTACTTTTATGTTTTAGCCGTCTACATCAAAACTTATTGAGAACCCTGAAATTGGAGTCCCATTTGTTGACCAATTTATTCTATTTGTAAGTTGAAACAAAGTCATGGTTAAATTTCTTAAAGGAAAATAAAACTCTGAAATGTTTGAGGCATAATTAACTCAAACCTGAAGGGTGTTGCAGCAGTTGACTTGCGCGATGGATTTGCTGGTGTTTTTGATTTGTCTTCCTTTATGGCAGCTGCAGGAAGGGATTTTCGTGCCAAAGGAGTCTTAAGCTTTTCATTGTTGGAGGCAGATCCAGAAAAGATAGGCTTGAAAACTTTGGGCGATTTCAATTTGAGTTTCTCACTTTTGGTGACAGTTTTGTTAGCAGGCTGGAAGAATGGTTTTGGAGCAGGAGAGCCAAAAACAAATGTAGATGACTTGGTGATGGTGGTAACAGTTGGCTTGAAAGTGACCTCAGCTGGTTTGCCTCGACTTTTCCTTTTTGGCCCAGTGGACTGCAAACAAGAAAACAACACAATCAAGTCATATGTTGATAACCAGACAATCTGACTACTGTTAATGTTAACACATTTGTAGTTAACATCTTATCACATTTGAAGTAACATTCTCTGTATTATTTCCTAAACATTTCCTTATTAGGTACTAACAAGGAGTATTTCTTCAACAATCAAGAGCTTTAATTGTTAGTTGTTAACTATATATATATATATATCATTCTGTTATTCTTGTGACCACATAATGTTTGATTCAGGAAGTGATATTGTACAGAGATTTTGAATGCCAATCACTCTTAGAGGTTAAGGCTGATAATTCAACTCCTGAACTATATAAAGGTTATATTCATTTTAATAACATGTTGTATCAACTCTTGATGGTTCAACATCTATACTTAAATTTGTTGCCAGAAAAATAGCTATCTAACATGCAAACTGCATGTTATTATGTATTGCAAGATTTCCACTAACTTTTCTTGCTAAAGAGTTTCTGTTTTCCTTCTCCTCCTTGCAGCTATCTACCACAATCTAAATAAGAAACAAAGTGAACTTGTTAAAATGTTAGACTGACAAAATACAGAATGAAATAAATTCCTCTATGTGAGGTAAGTTGATGAGTTGCCTCACCTTAGCTCTCTTGACTGACTGATTGAAACCCTCCATTCTTTTCCTTTTTTTCTCCAAATATACGTCAATAGAATCCATCCTGAAAAGTAGAAGAAAAAATTGAATTTATCTATACTTATTAAAAAATATTTTTATTTCTTAGGCTGCATTCACACTTGGTGCTTGAGCACTGTGCCTGAATACAATTCTTGATGGGCACTAATGTGAACACACCTCTTTTTTCAAGTACCCACAACAGAATTCAGGCAGCATCAGGGCTTGACACTAACAGTAGCTAACTAGCCACAGACTAGTAGAAATTCAGATTTGGCTGGTAGCTTTTGATTTCCACTACCCAGTTTAGCTGGTAAACAAAGTGAAATTGTCATAACATCTAAGATGTCATTAATCACTTGGCTAGTACGTTGAAAAGTTAGTGTCGCGCACTGTACCATGGCCGAGTGCTAGGTCTTGACCTTGTACTTGGGTCCTGAAGCAGGGACTGATTTAATGGGTACCAATTGTGAACACAGCCTTAGTTAAACACTACAGAGTAACTGGCAAAGTCCACCAATGTCTATGAAGGTTCAGTTCCAACAGCTAGCTCTCTCATATCTGGTCTTTATTCCTCCCCCTGGTTTGGTGGGAGGAGTGTAGGCTCGCATTCCTGAACAGTGGCTGATAAATAAATGAAGCCTATAGTCAGCATCTATGTTGCTCTTCTCAACTGACCAAGAACTTGAAACAGCTTAGGTTATTCCTATTACAATTTTCTCATACTAGATCGCTGAACATCTGTTCATGATCACTTACTTTTCAAACTGTTGCTTGTGAATCTTGTTCCATTTGTTTGCTAGCAACATAAAAAAGTATTGGACATATCTTATCAAATTGAATGCTTGCTATATGTCAACTAATTTTAAAAAAAATTACAGTATCACTTAAAACAAATATAGAACAACATCCAGTGAGAAGATGTAAGTTGAAAAAAATGTCTTACAAACAAGGAAATTCACCTGGCGTTTTATTTGTTTCTGCTGCCGATGACTCCTTACCAAGGAACTGAACAAATCGGGGGATTTTACATTCTGCAGGCACTGATATGTCATAGAAAAAGATACACTCGAAACTCAATATATGATAATACTGGTTTAGGATATATAATATAATAATTCATAATAACAAAGATTTAGTAATACATAGACAGGTAAAAATGAGCGATATAATATCCCGACGTTTCGGCAACTTCATGATGTCATTATCAAGGGTAAAAATGAAAATAAAATTAACAACTGCAAGTTCAAGAGTTACAACTAATTTACATAGGGGAGGTAACTACACAAATACTTTAGGACGGATAGAATCCGTTTGCACGTTCAAACTTGGTGTTAATTGTTTGATGTAAAGCATCTCATTGACAAGACAATCGAATTTGTTCATGCACTTCTTGAGAACTTTGAAACGGCTAAGAAGGTCCTCAGGGACAGCACCTGCGTGGTCGTTGTCGTATAATATAGTAATTATAATACAGTAGTGCAATATAATAATTATAATACAAAACAAAAATTGTATGCCATTATTTTAAGTGCAAAGTTGTGAACAGCCAGATACAGTCAAAACTCTCATAACAGCCACTTTTGTAAGCACACAGCTCCCCTTGAGACCAGCTAACCAAAAATTTTCTTCTTGTTCATCAACCAAGATTGTTTTTAGACAGTTTCTTTATGGGAGCCAGCTGCAAGCACTAACATTTAATGATCCTCCTCGCTTTAACCTTTGTGTCTGTTGATTTGGAATCTCAGCTGAAAAGATTGTGAATGTTTTTTGTTATAGCCTTACTTTTTTCCTCGACTTTCTTATCAAGCTGATCCATGAGCTCTCTCTTGTAACTGTCATCATCAGTATCACTTCTACGATTAAAATCTGTTGTTTCTGAATCTTTAACAGCCTTTCCTATCTCGGTGCAGTCAGCTGTGTGAGGTTCTTTTCCTTGCTCAACTGAAGAACTTGGAGGGGGAAAAACATCATCAGTTCAGCCTCTATTCAACTCTTCAAAACGGACAGAGTTTACGAGATTTTTCACTCTTCTTTTCTAAAATGGATTCATTTCATCACTTTGAGAGCGGGTAAAAAAATTATGAACCGAAGAGCAAAAACTATACTTACTCTTCTGCTGTGCCAGAAATCCTCGATGCATATATCTTTAGTCCTTCGATAAGCTGAGAAGTCTGAAATATTTCGAACGATGTTGATTAATAGGAGTATCAAGATTTGCGAGCAAATTATAGCCTTGAAAATGTTATGAGTTTCTGATTAAGCTTAATTTTAAAATTCACAATATTATAGCGAATGAACATCTTAATTTTTTTCCTATATGGAGCATAGCAAGCATAACAGGCAAGACGAAAATCCAGAACTGAATTATAATTTCATCAATTAACGTAACTCGACGCAAGAAAACAGAAAAAAACTTCTTTGATAATTCGTAAGAGATTTACTGTAATTCAAGTAAACAGGTGTCTCGTCTTGAACTTCGCTTTGATTATCGAGTATGGAATTTGAAACAAAGAAATTTAGTTCATTTCATCTTGGTACAGGTGCGTCTGGAGGAAGAAGCCTCGACAAAGAGTTGTTATTCAACGCATCCGTAAAATCTTTGCGTCGTCGTAGTTGCCCTGCATTGTTGTCAGTGTTATGTCGCATGCTGCAAATTATTTCAAACAGAGAAAAATCATGTGTGTACTAGACGTTTCTCAGCTGTCTTTGTGCTAATTTCCAGAACAGATAAATTGCACGCCTGCACGCTTACCTTGCTGTTGGCTTTAATTCCCACGCTCTTGCAGAGCTTTTGAAGTTCAGCACGCTTCATTCCCTCGAGCTCATTAACGTCAAAAGTTAAAGCCATCGTTGAACACAATATTTATTGCAGGCTTACAAATCAACAAGTAGTCCTGATTATATTTCTTTTTTAAATAGCTGCGAGCTGTTTCTGCTCAAAATAAACTGCTTTCTGCGTCGAATGGCGGCAGTAACACTTCGTCGAACGTTTGATCCATCCACAGCTGAAATTTGAAATGGACCGCTTACTCTTGATTGGCCAATTGCACTGAACGAGGGCGACTAAGAGAAAGTACTCAGAATTATAGTATTCAGTCCCCACGCGCCAATGAGCAACGCCTCGAAGATTTCAAGCTTGTGGTCGCCTGCGGCTGGGAAGGCACCCAAAATATTGTTTATGTTCGGATAATTTTAATCTAATCAATATTTACACAGAAGCCGACAATACAATACTTGAGATATTCATGTTTACAAAGGAAGTAAGGTTCTTATGCGTGACATTGGCTCTAATTCTCAGAGACAGAAACTCACAAAGATTCGAGCAATCGAACGTTCCATGCCACGGATCAACAAATGCCAAGTGCTATTGGTATGTGCAATAGCTTGCAATTGTGTCATCTTATTCTACATTTCTCATGTACAAAACACAAACGGGGAGTGGTTACAACAAAGCAGATTAAAAGCAATTAGGGAGAAAATTTCTTTTCGGGGAAACAAAGCTGCGCAATTTGAAAATGAAGTGACCATCGTCTTGTTGGAGTTTGAAGACTTCGAGAATGACATTAGTCGAACAATTCGTTCCATACTGGAGTACTTTTCAAACGTTCATATTGTGCTGATATCACATAAACGACCTTATCCGCCGTTAGATATTCCGAATGGCAAAATTCAACTGGTTGTGCAAGATTTGTCCCCTGATCAGAAGCAATCGGCTGGAAGACCTGAGAACTACATCACAACGCCTTACGTCATGTTCATTCCAGATAGTGTCCGACTCAGCTCTACAAGCTTACCAGTTATGATGCTTGAAGAACTTAAAGCTTTAGCTAGTATGAAACCTCAATATAAAATTGTTACAGCTCCAGTGAAATCAAGAGAAACTATACAATGCAACAAACTTTCATTCGACCTTAAACGATGGACACTAGAGTACTCAATTTCTGAAGATGAAGCACAGAGCTATTACAGAACTTGTGAATCTGTTGGCCCTAGCCAAGTGGTTTTGGTAAAAGCTGCATTCCTTCACAGCCTTAGTGCACCATACCTACGGCCTTTTCCTGAAAGTCTTTTCATTCAAGCTTCGTTGCACCATATAAAAACAAAACTTCTTCACAAGCTTTCTTTCTCACAAGGATCCATGCTCTTTTCAAATGCTCACACAAAATGGAAATATGAGAATAATGTAAAAACAAGAAGAATTGACATGTTCAGAAAACTTGGAATCAAGAAGGTAGTTCTTCCATCAGGAGAGGTGGAATGGTATGGCTGTGGCAAGAACACAGGGCGGTGCTTTGGCACGGTTTATGATGACATGCCTGAATATCTGTACATGTCGAGATGGACACCACCCTGTTGTTTGGAAAATCTGCGTCAGACCGCTCGTTATCTTTTTAACATCCTAAATGAAGCAGGGATAAGTTATTGGTTGGAAGGTGGTAGTTTGTTAGGTGCTGCTCGATATGGTGACATCATTCCATGGGATTATGATGTAGATATTGGTATTTATCAGCATGAAATCAGCAAGTGCTCATATCTGGTGGAATCAGAAAAGCTTTCAAATTCTGGTAAACCATATATTGACCATGACGGTTATACTTGGGAAAAAGCAACTGAAGGAGAATTTTTTCGAATCCAGTATAGTCAGTATAATCACTTACATGTAGACATTTTCCCATTCTATGAAAAAGATGGCATTATGACCAAGAAAACCTGGTTTGAAACTCACAGACAAGACAGAGAATTTCCTGCACACTATTTGAAACCTCTTGAAACAATCGATTTTATTGGAATGAAGGCATCTGCTCCGAACAATGCCAGAGAATTTCTGGAATTCAAGTTTGGTAAAGGTGTTATTGAAAATCCTCAGTATCCAAATCCATCAAAACTAAAAAAAAAGTCAAGGATTAAAAGTTAATCCCAGATTTTGAGTAATAAGTATATTTTTATGAATGAAATCACGTTATTTTTGCTAGTTAAGCTACTAAGTTTTTTCAGTTTCTCACTCTGTGTGGGGGAAAGCGCAAACAGACTTCAAGTGGCTAGGAGATGCCTAAGATGTTTGTGGCTTCGAAATTCATATTTTGGGGATATTTTTGTGGGGAAAGGTGAATGTCGCACAGTATTTTCTATAGACTGTTCATAATCTTTAATGTAAACCCATGGGATGATACAACGAATGATCGAATGCTAAAATTTTGAGTCAAGCGCCGATGAGTGTTGAGTTATCTCACGTTCCATTCCCTTGCCGTCTTCTCAGACAACCTTGTGATTCATTTGTGATCATCAATAGTGCCCTTCCTTGTCAGTTTAATACAGAGAAAAAATAATTAAAAGTAAATGTTTTTTTTCCTTTTGATAATTAAATAGAGTATTACTCTTTGGCAGTATGTGCTCTTCTGGTTTGCAGCCTTTCAATGTTGACAATTTTCTGAAGAGAAGTATAAATCTCTAACTGTATTTAATATGTGGTATTTTTTTCTAAGAGTAACATCTACACTATAACCCATTGGAAAAGATGTAAATATCAACAAAGAATAAATGGTAAATCTACCATTCCAGTTTGAATATGACAATGGATTTACATTCTAACCTAAAACTCCTTCATTGGCAAATTTTTGATGGCCTAGGCAATCTTTTTAATCAGAAATGGACAGAATTCTCCAATTACTTTACACTCTTCTCTTGCCAATTAATTTTTTTCATGAAAACTCTGAGAAGTAGAGACAAATTCTTGAAGGGAGCTGTGTCATGATTCTCTGCACCAATATTTATTCTAGGAAGTCTTTGAGCTGGCCTAGCTCATCTATGGCAACCTCATTCCCAGGTTTTCTCATCTTCCTGCCCCCTCGCTCCAGGGGGCAGGAAGATGAGAGGCCCTGGGAACAAGTTTGCTTCAGTGAGAGTATTTTTCACCAATGCTGGAAAGTAAGAGTCTCTTTGCAATGTGAGCTGGGGATTGCAAGAGGTCTGGCACCCAGTACCAGTGCCAGATCTTCTGAAAACCTCTCTGTGCTCAAGTATTCCATGGATGGAGAAATGTGTGTCCTGAAGCTCCGATAATGAGGGCCTGTGCTAGGGCTATACAGCTAGTAAAACTTCAACTTGAAGAAGTCCATGAAATATCAGGCTATGTTTAATGAGGAAAGAAAAATTTAAGAGGAAATAATAACCCAAGAGGGTTTGAAGGTAGCTAGGAATGAATGATGTTGAAGTAGATTGAAAACAATGGATTGACTTGAAAGGTGAATGCTGAAAATTCTTAAAATGCAAAAATCCAGACTCAGCTCCTTTGCAGTGTTAGTTACGATATGTTATTTTTGATTTGTACCATATTGAAATGTTGAAATAACATTAAAAACACCTTGGATTGAACTTTGGTGGTTGTAATTGGCTGTACAGAGCCACTCTATTAAGAAAATGTGTGTTGGTAATTGTTGTGCAAGAATTCTTGGTTGGAGAATAAAAAATCCTTGTCAATTGTGTTTTTTACGTTAGCTGGTTCAAGTCTGCCATCAGCTTAACCCTTTACAAGACTGTGCTCTAAGAAAAACTAAAGGGAGTCCAGTGCCCAGTGTATGGTTTTTATGAAAAAACTAAGATTCCTGAGTCGCCCAAGAGCAAAAGTAAGGTGCCAGGGGCCACCGGGCACTGCTAGACCACAGCCCTGCTTTACCTCCAAGAACTGATCAACATGTAATTTCTCTTTCCAAAGTTCATACATTTCTAGCAAAAGATGAGAGTTTATATAATAAACTTATCAAATAGTTGCCATCTTGAGCTAATACCAAATTCTTGTAACTAATTTACAAGGAAATGTGTAGCTGCTAGAGGGGAGAATTATCAATCAGATCTTGTTTAATAAAGGGTGAATGGCACTTCCAAGCAGAGCTTATCCTGGTTTCCATGACATGAAATGATTCAAAGCACTAAGAACACCACCAATCATTGAATTAAAGTATAAATATACTGCAGAAGCAGGTGGGTGATCCAAAAAAAAAATATTCTTAATTTTCCCTTAATAATTAATGAACTATATCTTATAATTAGAGGTCATCCACTAGATTAACCTTTGCTATTTGGATGATCGTAACTAGCTACCTACTCTATTGCTAAATTTTTTTCTCCTTATTCCTTTGCTGTACTGGGTTTAGTTGCTATGTAATTTTAACCTATATATCTTGTAAAACCGAGTTGAGTTTAATGAATCATCATCATCACACCCAGACCCCACTGTGTTTCAGTAACTAAACCACTTAGCTGTGGAAGGTCTGGGTAAGAGAATAGGAGGGGGTTAGTTAGGGGTGCAGGGTGTGGCAAGGATTTCTTAAAGAGGGGAGTGGGTCACCCTACATAAACCGCCTCCCGGTTAGCTCAATTGGTTAGAGTGCCGGACTGTTGTGTGGGAGGTCGAGGTTGATGGTTCGAGCCCCGGCCGGACCAACACTCAAGGTCTTAAAATAACTGTGGAGAATGCGCTACCTTTCTATAATATCAAGAAATGGATAGACATTCTAGTCTTCTCGGATAAGGACGAATAAACCGTAGGTCCCHTCTCCTGCATCTATTCATTAGTTAATTTGGTTAGGCAGGGGACGTTAAAGAACCCAGTCACGAGATTACTGTGATGTGGTCTGGCCTGTTTACTGGGAATTTGGGGGGAGGGGGCATCTTCAATTAGGTTTCCTTCATGATTGTTTGTAAACTGCTGATGCAGTCCAGCCAAAGTCCCCCGAAAAGTGTTGTGATGCGCATTTGATCATATCTACATGTTAATTTGTGCAAAATAAATATTGAATTATTATTATTATTATTATTATTACATCAAGAAGGAGGTTTTCTCTGGATTGTCATGTCGACCTCCATGATGTGTATCACTAAGAGTGACAAAAAAAGCTAACAAAGGAGGAGTCATGGGCACCCCAGGTCTCCCCAGCTATGCCCTTGAGGTCCTTGGTTGCAAGTAACCCTGCTTTTGAGAGTTGATTTTTTTTTCATTTTAATAGCAAACAAACTCCAAACTCAAGTGGCTAAAAAAGCTTGAATCCAAAGATTCTACAGAAGATAAATCACAACTGCCATTAAAAAGTATGGATATGACATTTTGGCAGACTGAATTTTAAGGTTCCATAAGGTAAACGAATCCTGGATAGACTATCTTCAAATATGATAAGAATCAGTTTATTGACTGCTATTAAAAAAAAAAAAAAAAAAAGAAAGGGGGTACCTGGCTATAAACCCAATGAAAACCCATGTGGCTCTCTTCACTTACAGCTATTACTCTGTTTTTCATTGAAAAAATAAATAAATAAAGAATTAAGAATGACAATTGGATTCACAATTATGTCAGTCACCAAGAAATGAAAATACAAGGTCGTGTTTGTTACGGCAAATTGTAGAGGAAGTTTATAAATTGTCCTGTTCATATTAGAATTTCATCTCCTGGTCAAAGTGTCAATGGTAGTGTCAAAATTTCAACAAAACTTTTCCGTAACGTAGATGAAAATCTCATGGTTTATAGAGCATGCTTCTTCTTCTTCGATAATTGTAATCATTATCGAGAAGGGGAAAAAATTATATTAGTATTATGTTCAATCAGAAAACCCCCCTCATTTTTTCCATGTCGAAGAAAAACTATTTTCTATTCCGCGTTTTGGGATTCTAGCGTGTGATTGGTAGCGAACGAGTGAATGTTCTGGACGACTGATCAGCTTTTTTAACGTGACCATTGCCGATCGCTGATTGGTCCTTAGAGAATTTATAATGAGTTTTATAATGCATTCACGAATATTGAATATCAAGCGAGCGAGTCCGGCCCAGTTTTTAGGGCGTCTCACACTGCTATTGATAATAGACTCGATTCTTTCCTTGCTTGTTTCGCCCGCTTATTCGTGAAACTTCAGTGAATTGTGCGGTCGATCGAAGGCGTTTGAATCATGTCTGTCGATGTGAAACATCCGCTTGATGCGGCAAGCACCGATCTGCTCGAAGTAAGCCGTCATCGGCTCGAACCACTTTCGACAAAGATGGAAGAGCGAGATGCAGACGTTATGAAGGTGAGGGTAGAGAATATATTTTTTCATGGATCGAACCGTTTTAAAACCACATCACAGACACCGAGGTATTCTTTTGCCCAAGGGCTGTATGTATTCGGCTTCAATCGATATGGGTTTCTGATCTAGGGAAGCTTCAAATGTTTGAAATGTCACTAGTAATCGTGCGTGACGAGAAGACCCAAGGGGAGCTTTATTGAGAACGTGGATGGGAAATCGAACGATCACTTTATTCGAATACTACACGTTTGGGTAAAGTAAAATCTGTTGAATGACAATCGATAAGAAACCCGAATCCTAGGTAAGAAGTGATTTTTTTAGTCGAGAAAATGGAGATCTGAATTAGTGTAAAGTCAATGTTGCATCTAGCTGCCTGGCGGCTTGCTCCAGTATATGTCTGGCATGGGTTTTCAATTTGAAAGAATGCTTATGTCAGCGAACGTTCGATTCCACAGATTTCTGTAAATTCCTTCTATTTTCACCTTATTTGAACCCCACTTTATCGGTGTGTTCTACTGAGACCTCGATTGCAGTCGATCGTAGTAATCTAGACAAAGAAAGCTCAAACAACGGAGATCGGGGGAGACCTAGAAAGCTCTACCAAAAGCATATGTTGCTGTACATGTTGGTATTCCGAGAATCTTTGTTAAACGAACTTTGTTCTTCGGAAATGGGTGTTTCAGAAAGTCGCGCATTTCATAGACTGCTTACATGTGCTGTGTGGTATTTTTGAAGAGCAAGGCTATTTACAAACAATTTGGCAGAAGAGAGACGCGAAAGCCCCTCGTATATAAAACACGCTCTTTGTCAGGTTTGACCACGTTACTATGATCGCGACCACTGAACAATTTTTTTGCACACTTGTAAAGCACGTTCCACACTCCTACAAAGCTGTGGCATGTAAATTTTTATCACTTCGATCGATTTCTGCTGGAAAATTATCAATACAAACACTGATGATGCAAATTTCTACGCTCACCCGCCCATTCATTGCTTTCTGTGGTATGTTTCATTGTTGCAGACTTCTGACAACCCCGATTCAACAGTCACTGCATGTACATTTATCTATCAGGTTTCTGTTGATTCGAAGTAACGTGCTTCGAAGCTTTGATTTTGATTTCTGTTTCTACCGTAGAAAAATGTGTGTTGTGTGTTCTCTATGAAATCAAGGTTCAATACCGTTGGCGACGCATGCGGCTGAATACATGAATATGATTTCTGTCGATAAAAGACACGAACAAGAGACATTTTGTCGGGTTTCATGGGTTTCTCCTTTGCGCTAGCAAACTATTTTAACGGAGCTTGCAGCAGTGTCTTTGATGGTGTGATTCTTAAAGGAGTATAGTTTATGAATATTGTTTCCAGCGGGTGAACGTGGCGGATATTTTGTCTCATGCAGTTTAAAATTCACTGGATTTTTGGAGGTTACTCCTTGTCTTTTAATTTATTTACAACAGCTAGTCGATGAGCCATTTTGGAGTCTCCCCTATATTATTATTAACTGAAATCCAGCAAAGAAGTTCATTAAAAGAGATCAATGACTATCCCCAATAAATTTCACAAAGTTCCTAAGGTGGGATCAAATTTGTCACACTTTGTAGTAGTCAATGTTAATTTCCAACTAGCAACTTGCAAGACATAAGTTTTCAATATTGAGCATGGAAAACAACATATCCCATATATTGAGCATCTACTTCATTGATGTTGCCATGAAGTTGACCTTAAATTTACCCAACTAAACTCATGGTATACACCTTCGAAAATAAGCAAATTCAATAATATAGAATAATCTGTATTTTCAGTATGTAAAAGTTAAAAAAAAGTGAACTTTCCTTCTATCTGCTTCTATCAAATATTATTTTTCATAACATAGTTATTCATCAAAAACAATTCACAAAGGGTCAAAGGCTTCCTTTTTACTGACAAGATTAACCAATTTAAAAGGATCATCCTTATTTATACCATTTATATCAATTGGCTGCTGACAAGACAGGTTACTTGAAGTAGTCACTGTCTCAACTGAGAAAAAAAATGAAAGTTAACTCTAAAGATTTAAATTAAATCCAGTTTTTCATCTAGAGTCCTGGAAATACCTCCTATTTTCATTAGGTATTTTTGTATTCATTAATAACTTATTAAATTTTGTTTTATGGCTTACCAGAACATATTTTTTACCTCAATTCGTCTCAGAATGGCTTGGTATACTTTGAAATTATAATTTAGTTTGAGTGAGTCAAAGTTTTTGTGTTAGCAAGATTTGTTAAAGAATTGAAAGCCTCTTTATCTATGATCATTTCTTTTATTCTCACAACCATAATATATCATTGAAAAGAGAAATTAGATGCTGGTCACTGTCTTAGGGGTTAAGAAATAATGGCTGACTGTTCTTTGAACTGCTATCAAGAATTAATGATGAAATTCAAAATTCCATGCTGGACTTGATTACTTGATTAACCAAAAATTGTGCCGTATTATGGAAATCAAACAAACTGATTTGATAAAATATTTTTATCAAGAGTTGAATTAAAGGAAATTGTCAGCAGAGCTTGAAATAAGCCCCACAGTCATTTAAGACAGAGGAGCTATTTCAGTTGCACAATAAAAATAGGAAAACCTTAAAGAAAAAGCAATGAAAATTAAAAATTTCACTTTGAAATGTATAAAGAGGACTTGACAGGGTAGTCTAGCTTTTCATCAGTCACCTAGCTAGTATGTTATGTTGATGATCATTCAGACTTTGGCAAAACCATTTCAAATCATTGCTGAGGGTACAATTAGAAGACAAAGAATTAAAAAAATTTTGTACAAAGGTTGCCACTGAAATATCAAATGATAAAATGAAATCAACTGCAGTTGAGGAAAGAGGGGGACTTTATACATCTTTGAGACAATGGCAAAAATGATGGAGTTTTCACCTAAGTGCAAAGTGATAAAGGCTATCCTGCAAATGTTAAAATATATCCCATTGCAGAAATGTGAGAGGACTGGGACAAGTTTTTTATATTGATTACATTGAAAATCTAAACATTTCAGCCGAGATGTTACTGAATGAAAAGCTACCCAGTCAAGTTTGAGAGTTTTCAGGGGAAAAGTGTCCAAATTGGAGCATTGCAAAAGTTTCAATAATTCAATACAAACCCTTAAAATTTTTTGGCCTGTCTATCCAATCCTTACAAACTCTATATTTTAGGTGATATTTGAAGAGCTGTCATTTTGCCATTTTCCTCCACTAAATAGTTCTATTCTTGCTTAAGACTCTCAAATTTATTTGACCTTTCATTTGAATATCTTAGTTTTTCACACAAAGGAAAAACAACCACACTCTTTCCCAGTCCTCTCATGTTTCTGTAATGGGCTATGTGGAGGAAATAGATTTTATTTCTGGTTGCCCTTGTCATCACAAAATAATGGGGGTCCAGTTGCTTAAAAGGGTGTATCACCCTATCCAAAGGACAAATCGGAATCCAGGGATAAGTGTCAATAAACCGTACTGCTCTAGCCATCAAGCAGATGATGTTATCCATCCTTCAGTTCAAACAACATTGACCTGATGTTTAGTATATTATTATTGTAATAAACCTGGAAATGTTTTTTTTGCATTGATCAATTGGTCCAAATAATTTGCACCCAACGAGAAGCTGGCTACATTTGATTACCCCTGGTTCTTAGTTGTTTCTTGTCCTTTTTACCTTTGTATATATTGTCAGATTAGTCTGATTTTATGAGAGTTGATTTTTAAAGTGTGCTCAGTACAAACAGTGGGCTTCAGTTACAATTCACATCTTCTCTTTGTGCTTCAGTGTCATTCAAAAAGATAATATTTTTTTAATAATAATTTATGTAAAGTCGATAATGTAGGAAGTGGTTGCCCAACCTTCCGAGCCAGTGGCTCATGTTACAAACACTCAACAAATAAAGTTTAGAAAAATATACTATATAGATATATTTAACAATTCTTCCACAAGCATGCGTTGAATATGATAAGATAGATAACCAACAAGGCACGTAGTGCCAAGTTGGCTATAATCATTTCATATCCAACAAGCAATAGTGGAATGATTGTTTTTATTAAAAATGTTAAATTAAGGTATTAAATTTTATTAAATTTTTTAGCTTCTTATAATTTTAAGCTGACGCGTACACTTACGATATTTGTAGATTATGGTATATTGGCTCATATAACATAATGGCTAAGCCAATAAAAAGTCTTGAATTGCATTATCCAATGATCCAGTTTTTAATAAATATACATGTATGTATATATAGAAAGTTTAAAAATTGTGAGGATGGACAACTTCTGACATCAAAAATATAAAAAATTTTAACAAAAAACGTTTCGGTCCAAGACCTTCAGTTATTTACAACTTTTAAAATAAAAAAAAGAGAGCATTAAATAAGATCGAAGTGCTAATAATTACGTAATTACAAATAACGACTAATGAACTGGTGCTAATTAAAAGATAACAAAAAACCTAATTACAAAGAAAGCAATGGACA